GAAGAGTTGTTTGTCGTGTTATTTTTTGTCATATTTTTCGTTGCGTTCTTTGTCAAATTTCGACTTGAACTCTCAACGGTCGAATTCTTTGTAAACCCTTTAGTTCCTAATTTGGCGACAACCATTTCCTTCATCTCTTTGATGGCAACAACATTTCCTCGATATGTTCCTTTGTACACAATCCCAAAACTTCCTTCTCCAAGTTTTCGCTCTTTCTTCAACTCGTCCGGGTCAAGTGCTGTCGACATTTCTGACGCAAATTTGACTGGGATTTTTATCTCTGATATTTTGCCTTTGTTGATGTTCAAGACCGAACAAGTGATGTCAACAGTCTTCTCAAGCGTACACAGCGGATGAATAGTCACTGTAAACTCTACAGCACGACCTTTCTTGATACTCACTGGGATGGAAGGTTCAACATTCAACTCAAACTTTTCTTCGTCATTTTGTGTTGTGAATTGAATTTTCAATAAAGACGCTCTGTCGTTGCCAATCATGAATTTACAGTCACTGTCTTTTTGGACTGCAATTTCTCCTTCAAAATGTATTTCTTGTGTTGAACACAAAATGCGTTCTTTTTGAGCGCCAAGATACACCATATCAACACCTTTCTTTTTCAAATCCTTTAACAGAAATTCATTCACCAGTGATTTCCTTAACATCTCTTCTTTTCTGTAATGAACGTAGAAAAGTATACAACTGATTGTGATACTGATAAGAACAACTATTAAAATACCAAAAATGATTGGAAGTATAATTGCAAGTACATTTGTCTTGTGAACACACTCGTCTCCATTTGGTCCAACTTTGTTGCTGCCACCACATTCACTGCATTGGCGGGTTTTAGAATCATATGACTTACAATTTGCAACTGAATTCCATTTCGCACATTGTGACGTTTTGGATATCAAAACGTATTGATCTACACAAGTCGAACATGTGTTATTGTTTAAGCACGTTGCACATAACTAATTGCATTTTGAGCATTTGTAATATTTGTTTTTATAATACCCATCATGACACGTGGCACACCCATACTCTGAAACCCATTCACAATTGTCAAGTGTTGTGTTGATGACACACTTCTTATCTTCAATTGTTGTAAATTCGACGTCTTCATAATACCCATTTTCAACATTGCACTTCACACAATTTGAAACGTTGCCCACACAACTCAAACACTTCTCGTCACATTTTACACAATCTGTATTGTTGAGGATATACCCCTCGTTGCATGCAGCACAATCAACACCACTCAGTAAGAACAGTTTGCACTTCTCAGCAAGTTCGCCAACATAAATACAATCGTTGCTTGTCCTGTCATAATAATACCCAAAAGCACATGTAACACAACTCTCTGCATTTTTAGAACAACTTGAACACTTCTTATCGCACGGAAGACATTCGGTGCCACTCAGATAATGCCCATCAAAGCACTTGGCACACCCCGTGTTGCTGTTTTCTTTGCAGTAAATCGTCTTTACTTCGGTGCTGCAAATCGATTCACCTTCATTGGATGTTCCAAGTGAAATTTGTGCATCACATTGAAGGCAATCGCCCGATGATGAATATGAGCATTGCGTCGTTTCCATTGAAACACATTTTTTGGTTTCATCAAATTTGTACTTCTCTTCACAAATAGCACATTTTGAAGTTGATAAATCGACACTCTGGCAATGCGCAATCGACATATCAACACATTGTGTGTCACTCAAAATGTAGTTCTCTTCACATAACGCACATTGCACCTCGTTGTTTGCTGTAATTACAACAAATTTGCAGTGAATTTCACTTAACATTTTACATGAACCAAGTAATAGGTAATACCCTTCATTACACACAGTACATCCACTTGGTGTTGATACTAAACAATTTAAAAGTGAAACACAACTTCCATTTACCAGAGAAAACCCATTCGAATACACTTGACATGTAGTTGGTGTTGTGCAAGTCAGACAATTGTTACTACAGGACTCACATTTTGGCGGATACTCTTTATTCAAAAAGTATTTAGAATAACACTTTATATAAAGTCCATTCGATAACACCTCACATCCAACATCGTCATTCTTTAATGTAGCATGTGTTTTAGTCTTTGAAGGTTCGATGTATCCTTCACACTCAAAAGTGTTGTCATTTTCTAAATAAAACGAGCATTTTTGTGTTCGTTCCATATTGGAACAAATTCCATTTAAATTGATTGAGTTTGAACATTCCACACACCCAAACCCTTCTTGGTACTTCTGACAGTATTTGTGGTTCTTGTATGAAAGTTTTGCATCTGAACGAGCTGTGAACTCAAACGATTTTGTGTATTGGCAATTCGTTCCGTTCGTACAAGTCGAACATCCCGTGGTACACTCGATTTTATACCCCTCACTGTCTATCAAATTTGTTGTTGTCACGCATTTCTTGTGTTCTCGAGACTCAAACGCCATGCCACTTTGACAAGCAGAGCACTCCAAATTGTCAACGTCAACTGTCGAATTTTGTTTGTAGTCACATGAATAACACCCATAAAACAAATTAAAACACTTCATACTGACACTGTCTGACACTTTGAACTCGTCTGCTGCAATTTCAACGCAATTTCCTTCAGTATCCAATATCTGTCGATTGGATTCGCAGTTTGTTGCTCTTTTAATGCTCATCGAAGTCGTTTTTGCAACACAACTATTGTTTACATCCAACAAAAATCCAGTGGAACACAATATACAAGTTGTTGAATTGTCACACAAAACGCAGTCACTCAACGTGGTGTTACACTGTTGACACATTCCATTATTTAAATAAAATCTTTTTGATTCACAAAATTCAATCAAATTTTCTGTTGTTGAACATTTGCCACTATTTTGGTGTTCATCAAAGCACAGTTTGCACTTGTTGGTTGCTTTGTCGAGAGTGTATGGCTCTTCACACATCTCACAAATTCCATTGATATCACACTTAACACATTTTGTAATGTCACAATCTTGAGAACACATTTGAGTACTTCCATTGTTGTACAAATTGAGTCCATCGTTGCATTTTGTGCACATTGTTTCATTTTCACACTCTGAACAACCAAACAATGCGTCACACCCAACACATCGATTGTTCTTCAAAAAGTAGTGTGGCTGACACGATAGAACTTTTTTCAATGTACACGTGGCAGAGTTACTGAAAACTTCACTACACAATTTACACTCGTTGTCGAGGTAATACCCATCTTTGCATGTGTGACATTTCTTTGATGTTGACGAACATGTTTTGCACCCATTGATTGTGAGACACGACTTGCACTTTCCATCGTCTGGATAATATCCATCGACACAATGCAGGCATGTGAGTTCATCAGAGCAACTGATACATTTATTGAGAGTTGAACATGACTCACACAACTCATTCTTTTTGAAGTAATTTTGGGCACACAACAAACATTTGTTTGGTATTGTGTTATCACACAAAATACACCCACTTAAAATGGAACATGACAAGCATTTAGAAGAGTCGGTGTTTTTTGTTGTGTTAGTTTCACAAGTGTTACAAGTATTATCTTGAGCACACACAAAGCAATTATCTACTGAGCATTTGCTGGTGGACGGGCCGAATAATGTTGAATTAAATAATCTGCACTCGAATAATGATGTATTGAATGTGTTTCAACAATAGTTCAAAAGCAAATCAACGAAAAATCAATTCAATTATTTTCATACAATGTTTTATTTTTAGTTTCTAAAACTTTATAAAATCACTCTAAATCGGTATAAACAGAAAAGTTCAGTAAGTTCCCTTCATAAATTATTAATAACACATTCGAAACAATATAACTTTTATTGAAAGATCGAAATGGGGTTATTTTTGTATTTATCAACAAATGATAAACCAAATAGAGTTAGTCGAAAAAGTTGTCCTGGGATTTTTGGTCAATGAAAATTGGAAAATATTAAGTTCATGCTGAAAATATAAAAAAAATCGTCGTTTCAGTTTTTTACCGTTTTTTTTTATTTTTACCTGATTCCCGTGATTTTAAACAAATGTTTGTGTATAAATTGAAAAAATTAACTTTGGCAATTGGGACAACGTTTTACAACAAACTCTTATTAGTATGTTGTAACAATAATTTGCTCATTACTCATCAAACTGTATTTCATATCATTAAAAAAATTAAAAAAACAATACTTTATAACAATCTTAAATAAATTAAATATTTGAAGGAAACTTAATGGTATTATTTATGATAAAAATAAAATATATACAACTTAAAAGTTAAATATAACTTATACTTTTGATTATATGGTAAAAAAACAATATAAAAGCTACTTTTTTTTAACAAGTTGTATTATTTTTTGTATTTATTTTTACACAGATACAAATATGGTAAATAATAAATAATATAAATGAAATAAAATTTATTGGATTTTAATAAATTGGCTATTAATAATAATCTAACAGTTGAAAAGCGTGTGATGTTTTAAAATTTATTTTATTATTTTGAAAAATTAATTAATTATAAAAATAAGATTTTACAAATATTATTGTGTTATAGTAATCCAATAAATATTTAATTACTTCTTTTAACTTCTTTCTTTCTTTTAGAACTCTTTTTCTTTCTTTTCCCATCACCCGGTATGTGTCTTTTTGAAGGTGGTATATACGTGGTTTTTTCCTTAACACATGGTTTAGCATCGATTGGTTGTTTGTCAATAATCATCGTTCTATGTTTTGAAATAACATGTACATTTTCTTTTGTTATTTTATTGACCAATTCATCAACACTTTTATTCAAAACAACTTCTGTGTTATTTTTCGAATTATCCATAACTTCCACGTTATTTGGTACTTTATTTAAACAATTAAAATCACGTATTTCTCCAATGAATTGTTTATCAACTTTCTGTATATTAATTTTTTTCTCATCTTTGAATTCAAAGTTGTCAATTTCCTCTCTCATTTCATAAAATTTGTTTCACCCCAAAGAGTCAATTGTTTCAACTATGTTCCTTTCGAAGTTTTCAATAAATCTATTTTTACTATAATAATTTAATGTCAAATTAAAAAATTTTGTCGGTCTTGTATAATAATGATTGTTTTCTTTATCAACATGTTTTGATTTAATTATTTAACTGTTTTTGTATTTTATTAAATTGATAAGAAGATAATTGAGAGTTGTTTTTTGCAGTTGAGTCTTTTAACCAACGCTGAATGATAAGATTCGCTTAAGTTGTCGGTTCTGATAGTTTGATTATATTGGCACCACAAGTTTATTGGCCATTTTAATATCCAGTTGTTTCTAAAATAAACAACCAGTAATCAACTTTGTCTTTTGTTTGCACATCAAAAACCAAAGAATTTTTGTATTCAATTATACTTTCAAAACGTTGTTCAATTTCACTTGGCTTGTAAAATGCCAACATTTTTAGTTTGGAAACCAGATTCCAAATTTGATTACCGGGATGATACATACTCGACAAACCAATACTGTTTACTTTTCTCCAGATACACTGGGTGTAATGAAAGTAACAACCGTGAATTATACACCCATATTTGCTGAGACTGTTAATTGCTGCGGTTTCAAAATCAACCATAACACTGACATCTTTATGGAAAAGTGGACAACCACAACATTTAACAAAAAAACACATTGATTATGTCAAATAGCAACACATTATCGATTTCTCTGCGATGAACCATCAAAATGTGTACAAGGGTGAAACATTGACCATTTGTTAAAATATAGTGTATCGTGTAAAGTTGTTCGTAATCATATGGACATGACCCAAAGGTACTGTCCATGCATAAATAAGCAATAGCTTTGTTTTTCAAAATATCTATTTTTTCTCTTGATATCATTAAAAATACATTATCTTCGTCTCTTATATAATACTTATCACTGTTAAGCAGCTCTTGTATTGTTTCATCGATCATTTCACTTTTAAGTTTATTAATAGTTCTTCTTAATGTAGTTTTTCTTCTGGTGTCTTTTGTGTTAAAAGATTGATATTGTTCTAAAATGGCAGTAGCAGAAATTAAAACATTGGTTCCTTGTTTGACTAATTGTTTAATTTCTTTGTTATCAACTCTTTCAGTAGGCAAGTGTGGGTGAGTTTTGTAATCTTCATTAATATATTTATACTCAATAAACTTTAGTTTTTCACCTTCACCTTCTGTTTTTAATATTTCTATCTTCACTTGGCATTTTGGACACTTGTAATTTTTTCTTGAACGGTCTTGGGGTATAAATGTGTACCCATTAACAGTCGGAAGTATATGGTTCGTTCCATCTTTTGATCTTTTTCTGCTCGGTGTTTGAGTAAGTTCTTCCATTTGAATATAGTTTCCGAATTTTTGGAATTTAAAAAGTATAATAAAATATTTATATTGCAATTGTAAAACAAAATACTTGAAATGTGTCTAATTATAGTTAGATTTTTATTAATAAAACATGTTTATTTATATCTAATTCGATAATGGTGTATTTGTTATTAAAAGTAAATAGAATAAGCGTTTATCTAAATATGATACAAATCAAATGTGAAATTTATTTATAATATTTTATATATATTTGGTTTATCATTTGTTGATAAATACAAAAATAACCCCATTTCGATCTTTCAATAAAAGTTATATTGTTTCGAATGTGTTATTAATAATTTATGAAGGGAACTTACTGAACTTTTCTGTTTATACCGATTTAGAGTGATTTTATAAAGTTTTAGAAACTAAAAATAAAACATTGTATGAAAATAATTGAATTGATTTTTCGTTGATTTGCTTTTGAACTATTGTTGAAACACATTCAATACATCATTATTCGAGTGCAGATTATTTAATTCAACATTATTCCGGCACTTAATCATTCTTCACACTTGTTTGTATTGGTATTGTATGTCAATTTCTCTTTACATTTTATGCAATTACCTTTGTTGCCATCACACATCACACAATTTGTGACTTGACATGCTGCACATCTTCCATCAGCCATTTTACCACCCCCAGAACATTGTAAATGATTTTGACAGATGAAAATGCCGTTTTGGAAGTGCCCCGACTTGCAAAACATGTTGTTGTATACAAACCCATTCGCCGCAACGAGAAAAACGTTTTTTGTTATTGTGAAATTATCTAAATTTACTTGTTTGTCAGACACCATCTCAATCTCAATAAATTCAGTGAGTGACAAATCGTATTTTTGGTTTCCAATTACAATTACATTTTCTTCGTTTTCTGCATTTTTTACATTTGAATTCTGTTTGGGCGCATCTACTTTGACTTTCATTTGATAAAAGGTGTCAATTGGTGTGATGTATGCATCAGTGAGTGGGCAATAATTTTCGATGTAATATGGATCTCGTGTGCCTTCAGTGTGGTTCACATGACAATATATCTTATCTGACGTACCATACCGTAATAGGTGACCTTCTAAAAGTACTTTGAATGGGGTTGTGTATAATGACGCGTCAAGAGTGTTGTTTGTGTACAAAAAGTCGAATTCACCATCATGTTGAAAAGCAACAAACCCAGTTATTGTAGTTGTATTCGATACGAAAAAGAGTGGAAGATCTTTGATTGTTCTATCTGTGGAGACTTTAAATGTGTTTGTCAAAGTTAAAATGAGATTTTCTGTTTGAATTGTACTTCGATTATCAGCAACAAATTCTCTTGTCGATTCAAATGATTTTGATACAAAATTAATTCGTTGTGTTGAACTCGATATTTTGCAGTAATATTTAGATATTTTAAAGCTGAAAGTATCAAACAACTCAATGTGTGAATTTTCATTGATGGAAATTTGACTACCAACTGTCTTGGAAAACATATTTAAACAAGAAAGTTTTGATTTACCTGAAAGTGTATTTGGAGATGTACCACCACTTAAAGTTATATTACCTTCCACTGAAAGGCGGGCATTTTCAGAAACATTGAATATAGACTTATCAAAAATGACATTTTCAACCGAACTCAGCACTGAATTTCCAAAAAGATTTATTGTTGATTAACTAATTTCCAATTGATTGGTATTTACAATTGAATTACCAGTCGCATTACACGTACTTTCATAGTCCAATTTAAACAATTCAGAAACATTTAAATTGCAATTTGATTCAAGTGTAATTTGTGCCCCTACAAGTTCCAAATTTTTTTCTGTTTTTAAAGTCGAGCCAGTTGTCATTTGTAACTTACTTGTTGTAAATTTTATAGACTCTAAATATTGACAAGTATCATTTTTGGTTAAGACATATTCTGTTTCTTCTATAATATTTGGTGGACATGTTGATAACGCCAATATGATCAACACAAATACATATAACAAATTGATCATATATAATTGTATTTTAGAGATATTGATAAAATTCTTAAATAAATGAGTTAAATGGTTTAGTTATCATTTCTTTACCACATTTCCTTAAATTATATTATACAGTCAGTTTTTAAACGTTATCTGGTATTTTTTGGACCAATAAAATTGGAATATTTTGGGAAGCCCTCTTTATAATTTGTCCCAATTGTTTCAAGTTTTTTCATGTTTTACCTTATGCCCGATGTTTACTTATGAATAAAGCTTTTTTTGTTTTGAAATAACGTTTTAAAACCGACTTTAATTGAATCATCCACTCAATCATAATTCTTCATATTTAAAACCACAATTAAACTTGATAGAGTCGGTTGCTAAACGTTGTTTGGTCTGTAACGTTGTCTACCGATTTTTAAAGCATTATGATTATAATATTATGAGAAATTTTTTGAAAACACCAAAAATATTTGTTTCAACATTTTTACCAATTTTTTCATTTTTACTCAATTCCCGTTTTTTAAACAAAGATCAATTATTTTTTTGTCAAAAAGACAACCTTTGGGGAACAGACAACGTTTATTGACTGACTCAATAATATATTTTAAAATATAATCAAAAATTCCTTTATTTAACAAGCAATATTTTATAATTCTATAAAAATGTTAAATATACATTATACAGTTGTAATAGAAACCAGTGCAACTTGTTCAAAAATGTAGTGACTGAGTTAAATAATTCTAAAAATATTGAAATTATGTTATTCTTTATTTTTTAATTATTATAAAAGAAGGATAAAAACCTGAAGTAGAATAACAACACAATTCATTTACAATAAGCAAACAATATCGAAATAAGTCTCCTCACAAAAAAATCATCGTTTCTTTTCTCTCATGCCTTCTTCGTAACAGTTACATCATCCATTTCTCTTCTTCTTCTCTTCAACCACTTTTTCATATTACATTAAATTAAACTTGTTCTTCAAGTTTAATTTCCATGCTTTTATCCTCAACATCATCTTCTTCGACTTCTTGAATCATATACTCGCAGAACCATATTGGTTAATTTTTACAAAAACCAAGACGCCGACGTCATATCCATTGTGATACAATATAACATTTGCTGTCTTGTTTAATTTCAGTTTTTTGCTTCAACACATCCCCGATTATAATTATGCATCCTATTATTGTGGTTAAATTTCCTTCTTTGTTTGGTCCAATTTATAGTGTATCATGTATTCTTTGTTCTAACTATTTATTGTACTTATACATCCTTTCCGTCTGCGAATAATCATGTTCCCATCTAATATTCAATCAAAACAAGCACCAAATGAAAAACACAATTCAGTTTTTTTAGTTTAAACTCATAATATTTTGGTAGAAATTCTACAAAAACATGAAAATGGAGGGAAAGTGGATAGAATATGGTTTTGTTTTAAAAAGAATATTTTAGGGCAATTGATCGTTTTTTTGTTCATTTGTTGAACCTTTTGTTTCGAAAATAAATAAACTTTGTTTTTCGTGTTGTTTTTAAAAGCCAACTTTTATTGTATTAATACCTAAAAAAAACTATTGAGACTATCCACAAAATAAATATAATACGAAAAGAAAAAAGAAAAAGAAAAATAAACGAATTGCACGATCAAAAAAAACAGTTTTATTTTTAGGATCCCCTCTTTTTTACTCAGTCACCCCATTTTTGCAAAAGTTGCACGGGTTTTGTCTAAAACAATAAATTTTATAGTATTTATATTTATTTAAAATAGATAAATAACTTCTTACTACTTTTTTTGCTCTTCTTATCAACAACTATTTTTGACTAATATAATTGTAATTTCAAATATAATACAAATTACCATTTGAATAGATAAGTTTAAAAGTAAAATATTCAGCTTTCATGGTAAACAATTTTATATATTTTAATATACACAGTTAGTTTCACAACAATTCCTTATTTTTCATAACAAATAGATTTCTGTTTCATAACGATTAGATTTGTATTGACATTATTGTATATATTTTATTTATAATTGAAAATGCAGTCTGTTAAATGATAATTAATGTTTTTAATAAAGCATATATAAACTGTATATTTTAAAATAATTAAACATAAGATAAACTTTTAATTTTGGTTGTGCTCAAATCAAAAAAATAATACATTTCGTATAAATAACAACTTTATATTAAATAATAAAAAGAGGAAAAACAACAAAATAATAGTAGTTAAGTAGATTTAAAACGCTTTCTACTTCTTTATAGCTTTTTTGTTTTTATATATAAAAGATATTAAATAAAAAAAATGATAGGTACTGTTTACCACTAAAGCTTATATACAATATAAAAACTTTTTCAATACAAAGTGATAATTTGCATTATATTTTTTTATATTATTTTAGTTATAACTTTGAAAACAATATGTTGCAAAAACGGATTATTGACTTTCTGTGTATGTAAAATATGTAATATACTATATTGTTATATATAATAATTAAGTTATAAAGATGATCTCTCTGTTTTATACAATACTTTAATAAGTATTTTTTATTTAATTTGTATATGTAAATACATGATAACAACTAATGAATTGTTTTTTAAATCAGTGTTATATTATTTAATCATGAATCATCAATTAAAATATTCTTAGTTTAGTTCTACATATAAACACATTTCAAGTATAAACGTATCATAATTTTATTCTTTAAATTGGATGATGGTGTTGTTATATATGGTTGTTTATCTACATTTCATTTTGTTTGCCTTTTCAAACCATCAACAGTTTAAATGATTCAAATATTAAATATTATAAATTAACCATGTATTGTTTATATATTTTTATTGTGTATGTTTTAGTAATAATTTGAGATTGTTTAAAAGAATTTAATTGATATTTCATTTATCACTTGGATGTTATTTATGTTTATTGTTAAGTATTTTTTTTAAATATGAGTATAATTACAGTATTATTAATGTTATTAACAAATGTGTATTGTCGTTTACATTTGTATTGATGTTGAATATATTTGTACACGTCAAAATGTCGAGGAAAACACTGAAATAACAGACGATTGTCAATGTTGATATCATAGACTACTTGATATACAACAAAAAACAAACAACTAATTTAGTTGTGTTTTTGTTTGAAAGTTTATTAATTGGGTTATTGATAAAATTCCGACGTTGTGGAAGGTAAAAAGACATTTGTCAACTTTGACAATTATCAACTAAGACATTTGTCGAAACCCTCAAAATATTTTGTATTTATAACAATAAAATATATATTTTCTATAAATATTATTTTTATTTTATAATTAGAAAACAATGTTATTAATATTGTAAAATTGTAAAATACAAAACAAACATACGTTTGAATAAAAATAGAAATTATAAAAAATATAATTAATAAGTGTTATTAAAAACAAAATGTATACTTAATAATATTATTTAAAACAATTTAGAATTTATATTTATGTTAATCTTATCAAATAAATATGATTTACATTCTAATTATTTGAATTGTTATAATATTCTGATTATAAATATAATATCTTGTATATATTCATAACAAATTTTAAACATAATAAAAAGGTATTATATTAAACATAATTATTATATTATGCAAATTGAATATTTATTTTTAAAATTGCTTTTTATTTTAATAGAAAACTGAATTAATCAATATTTTTCTTGTGATTTCGAGGTTTTTTTTCTTTGTTCAATTTCTGACATATAGTCAATTTTTTTCTCCTTTTTAGTGTTTTCTTTGATTTTATCTTTGAAGTATTAATGCCACTTTTGGCGCAATTTCGGACATTTTCCATCTTTCCTTCTGTTTTTTCCAATGTAATAACACTGTTTTCTTCAAAAATTGATTGTAATGTTGAATTGTATTCGTGTATTGATTTTATTGTTGACTCAAAATCAATTTCACTTTGATAACTTGGTTCAATGATAGTTGATATATTTAAATTTGTCCCATTTTCATCAAAAGTAACATTTTGTTGTTCTTGCATTATAATATCCATTTCATTTATCAATCTTTGTGATGCATTTATTGCATGAATGGATACATTTCTTCTTGACGCCTTTGTTGTAAAATTGTAGTCAATATACAACTTGCCAATTGCGTCTAGATATTGCAGTTGATTTTCAAACTTTCCATTTTGATAACTTTCCATTGTAATATTCAATTTTCTGCTTAATTCTTGAATTGCGCGTCGATAAGCAACTTCGTGTTTTCCAGTTGCCATATCTAACCATCTTTGCCTACACATGTCATCCAATTTTCTTAACATGTCGACCAAAACCACGATTCTTGGATGAGCAATTTGAAACTCTAAACCTACTGCATGATGAAATGCTTCACATAAATTATTTGTCCTATTTTTGTGAAAAATTGACACCATTTTTCATTCCCAATTTTTTTCAACCAAAAATCTTTATAATAATTTAAAACTTCTTTGTACTTTTCTAATAAATGTGAAGGTACACCAAATTCTAAAGATGTTGACATTTCAATGAATAATTTCT